TCTCAGAAGGCCATCTCGACCATCTGCGAGACGACCGACTACCAACGCTCCTGCGAGGAAGCCCTCGTCTCCTCCGGCGCTGGAAACTCGACCGACCCAAAGGACCTCATCGCAGCCGCCTTCCAAGCCGCCATCCGCAAGATCGGCGAGGCCGCCGAGCGCTCGTCGGTCCTCCGTGCCGCACAGTCCGACCCGCGGGCCCGCGCAGCCCTCGACAGTTGCCGCGAGCTGGCGGGCCAAGCCTCTCGGGACCTCGAGCGATCGTACGCCAAGTTCAACAACTTCGACATCACCAACGTGGATGATATCCTCGTCGAGCTCAAGGTTTGGCTTAGCGGCGCCATCACTAACGAGGAGACGTGCCTCGATGGGTTCGAGGGGGTCCCGGGGGACGCCGACGACCGTATGCGGGCCGCCCTTAAGTCGTCCATGGAGATGACGAGCAACGCGCTCGCCATGGTGGCGGAGATCTCGACTTTTTTGGAGACGATGGGAATTCAAGGGTTCAAGAGTAGTCGCCGCCGACTCCTCTCATCATCTGTGTTGGGCCACGACGCGGAGCTTCCGGAATGGATGGATTTCGAGTGGACACAGAGGAGGCTCATGACGGAAGCTTCTTTTTCACCGCAACAAATTAAGCCGAACGTAGTGGTGGCTAAGGATGGTACCGGAAAGTACCGGACGATAAACGAGGCACTAAAAGACGTGCCCAAAAACAACAACCGGACATTCGTGGTGTACGTGAAAGAGGGAGTTTATGAAGAGAAGGTGTGGATCAACAGCAGTCTCACTCACCTTATGATCGTCGGGGATGGGCCCACCAAGACGAGAATAACAGGTCGATTGAACTTCATCGACGGAACCGGGACCTACCAAACAGCCACCGTCGGTTAGTTAATATTTATTGATTACTATTATATCAGCCATTTAGATTTTAATCATTTTATTGTTAGTGTATATTTCTCAAGAAAACATTTCGTATTTTTCATAGCCGTGCAAGCGGACGACTTCATAGCTAGGGACATCGGGTTCGAAAACTCTGCTGGACCCGAAAAGCACCAAGCTGTTGCGTTGCGTGTGAGTGCCGACCGGGCAATCTTCTACAACTGCCACATGGACGGTTACCAGGACACGTTGTACGTGCACACGTACCGCCAGTTCTATCGGGATTGCGTAATCTCCGGCACCATCGACTTTATCTTTGGTGATGCCGCGGCCGTTTTCCAAGGGTGCACGCTGCTTGTTCGGAAGCCGCTCGACAATCAACAGAACATCGTGACAGCTCAGGGCCGAAAAGACGTTCGCCAGCCCACGGGTCTCGTCATCCAGAACTGCACATTTAGGGCCGACCCGGAATACTACCCGCACCGTAACAAGATAAAGTCGTACCTCGGCAGGCCGTGGAAAGAGTACTCAAGGACCATCATCATGGAGTCATTTGTTGATGATTTCATCCAGCCGCAAGGGTGGCTCCCTTGGAATGAGACCTTCGCTCTCAACACACTCTTCTACACTGAGTTCAACAACCGCGGGCCCGGCGCACCCAAAGCCCAACGGGCCAAATGGGCCGGAGTCAAGGAGCTCCCGCCGGCCCGTATCCAGCGGTTCACCGCCGCCGAGTTCCTGGACGGAAACCGCTGGATTCCACCAACTCGCGTACCTTACGCGGCCGGGTTTATATTCCCGGTGCCCAAGGAGGACCCGAACATCAAGTACTCGCCGGTCGTTCCCGAAGAAAACAAGGATCTCGGCTCGGTTATCGATAAGACCTCGTATGTGGCTAATAAGAACAATACAGGGTCAGGCCAGGCGGCCGCCCCACCGCCGCCACCGCCACCACCGCCGGTCTCGATGTCAGCTCCGGAAATAGCTATCCCTCTTGATATCCTCCCGAGCGCCAGTGCTCCCGAGTCGTCTATAACGGCTTCTCCATCGTTATCTCCTGTCGGGAATCCTTCGGTCGGGATTTCTCAGCCCATTTTTGGTGTCTCGCCATTCGTGTTGCCGGTCGGAGGTGACTCGCAATCATCCGGCGGAGACTCCTTTCACTCTGTGGGGTCGGATGTTGCTTCAACTCCGGCCAACTCTCGTTCACCTTCGAGTGCTCTATCAAATACGAGAAGTTCAGATGTCCAGCAGAGCCTGGCTCCGGGGGTTGTTCAGGAAGGTTTGGCTGCGGCAGAAGCTCCGGTGGTTGCTCAGGGAGGTGATTTGGCGGCAGCAGAAACTCCAGTGGTTGCTCAGGGAGGTGATTTGGCGGCGGCAGCTCCAACTCCGGCTACTTCTACCGGTAGCAGCTCAGTGCCAGCAGCTTCTCCAGCTGTCTCGGCAAGTGGAAGTGTAGCTGCTACTCCCGAGTCATTAGATGCATTCTTTGATGCTTCCCCTCCAAGCTAGTAGCATGGTCTTGTGGTTTTCCATAGTATTTTATTATTATTTGTAATTTTTAAAACTGAAGTCATTGATATATATATGTATTATTTCTTTCATGGATTTAATTGAAAATGGGGAGTGTATGTAGATTTATTTTTTTTTTTTCTTTCTTTTTTTTCCCATTCCCGGGTTTTTCATTTGAAACTATAATTTTTTGGGGTGTATTTATTTATTTATTCTTATTTTTTTCTCTCTCTCTTTCTCGTTGAATCATCTCTAATTCACTTGTATATTACTGTGTCTGTTTATTTTCCCCCGCCCCTTTTCAACGTAAAACTCCACTTGGCTCAACATGACAGAACCAGGAAACATTGACAGAAACACACATTTCTCAAAACTAGCATTAATATGCGCTAAACAAAATAAACTAACCATTTTTGCTTGAATTTTTCAACACTGACACAGCCTTAGTCGAACCAACTAGCACGTATGATGCATCGTGTGTTTCTTCCTAAAAATGGGGTGAGGTTCATTTTTTAACACCAAGATGTATTTAAAGTCTTAAAGAAACGAAATGCAGAAAAATCGAATACATGTAAATGGGAACCAGGAAAGAAAATCATGATTTAGCCTTTTTTTTGCAGAAAAATGATAGTATAACGGATATGGTGATAAATTTTACCTTTTTCACGGAGGTGTCTTTGAACTCCTTGCTGCAGGTTTTAACATTCATCGACAATCGAAAGAGCAGCGACATTTTCGAATTCACCTCCATAGTTAGGAGCCGAGAAAATTGTGACTAGTCTTCTCTTAACAAAGAACTCATATGACATATCCATCCTCGACAACCTGCAAAATGAAGAAAGGTACGTCAGAACATAGTTGTGCTTGGATATTATTTCATTTTCATTTTCGCTATACAATTTTGCCCAAGAAACTTATTCTTATATTTTTAATAGAAAAAGTAAATATGAGAGTCATCCAACTTAGGATTGATGCAGATATTTGTGATTATAGTGGACACATGCCTAATTTGCCAGCGTCCGTTTTAGCTAATCGAGCTTTAAATAAAGGTTTCTCATCTCTGTTTGCACCAAAAGTAATTGAAAGATGTTAATATAAATTACATTTAAAAGTATTTGATTAACTGTCTTACTCTTGAAACAGAACACCTAACCACAAAAGAAGCAGAAGGGAACAACTAAATCCAACCGGTCAAAATGCTAAGAGCTGTCTATTTGGATAAGTAAACCAACTCGTAAAAATTGGATATACAAACTTCTAAGTCGAATAGCGTTACACAAGCATCTAAGAATGATGCCATGAAATAATACCGAGACGAAACATATAGTTACCGTTCTAAACTTTCACCAATTGCTACATGTTAATAAAAGGACTTGAGCGTTGATTTTCCCTGAGAATTCCCACCTATCATATTACGACGACATGATATTATTAATATTGTAGTGTTTTTAAGACGAAAACACCTAACTGAATTCATCATTCACGTCAGCAAAAACCAGCACGAATATGAATGAAAGATCATTGACATTAACCTCATAATCACGAAGCCATGCTTAACTTTATTCGTGGCGATATCTCATCGAAGAACCCACACGAATCGATTTTCTGAAGGAACATGTAGTGAGAAAATTTGTTTGGTGGCTTGCTAGGCAACAAGATGAGGAGGAAACGAATTATGAATAAAATCAACTCAAATAAAATTTGATCAGATAGCACAGAACCAAACCACAAATCCCCAACTCATAGTTATGCACACCCAATATCATACAAAAGGCGAAATTCATCATTCCCAAACATCAAACACATTTCCTCGCCACAAAATGTGTAAAAAAGGAACAAAAACCCTTTGTGCAAAATCAAAATTATTACCAACCTTAATTCAAACGGATGCAAAAATCAGTAATAATAATAATTCGAAACAATATATACATACCGCAGATCCTGATTGGGGGCCGGAAGGTGGAGGAGATTGGGCTCGGAGAGAAAATTCTGGCGAGCGCCGATGAAAATCCGGCGGATCTCCGCCTCCGATGACTGAACCTGCTTTCCCCTTTTCCCGTCGAGCAGCCGCCGGATTATATCGTCATTATCTTTCGGGCTGAAACACAGAAATTGAGCTAGGGTTTTCGATTTTTTCGAATTAAAAAACTTATCAAGATGATTTTATCTTTAGTTAGCTGTCAGTTGAATGTTCTGCACTGGTAGCTACTAGCTAGTTAGAGAATGAAGACCAATTCAGATGGTATCGTTTTTCTCCCGCGCGCGGGTACACAAACTTGACACACGAAATAAACTCGTGAGTTTTGGCTTGGTGAGGTGAGTTCAAATTAAAAACTTGAAAAAGTACATGACAAATTGTATAAATTATTAACAAAAATACAAATTTTATTTTCATGTCATATTAATATAATAAATATACATTAATTATTATAATAATTTTTTAATTAAATTTTCAAAACATGATGAAAAACTAATGGTATAAATTTGGAGAAATGCTATGGTCTCGTTATGGTACCATCCCGTCGGGTGTTTTAACCGTTGGATCATCTATCTTATACTTGATAAGCCAAAATAATCGACTCACCGAGATTGCGGGTCGAACCGTCTCATCTGGATTGCGTAAGTGTTCGGACATCTCAATCACCTTTGTCTTCAAGAATCGGATCGACCTCCCCGGCGTAGACACTCCGACGCTCAAGTCAGAAAACAAATATTTTATCGTGTATATCGAGTAATCTTAAGAGCTTAGGATTAGAAAATAAACCTGGTCCTTATTTATAAGGGGTTTAATGACTTACTCCCCAAGATAATGAGTTTCCTTAACCAACAAGAACTCTGATACTCCTCAATAATTGTGTAGATATACACCAACTTTTATGAATATCTTTAACTAATATCGTGTATCCATAAATTAGCTCTAAGCTTCCTTAGACCGGCCTATCCGAGCTAACCGCTCAGGCTGGTCCACCGAGTTATTTTTCATGCTACATCAATACTAACTACATGTGTATTTAGCGGTTAAAACAACGGCCGAGATGATACCGTAACGGGACAACAACATTTCTCATAAATTGGATCACTTGCCACGTTATAAGTTGATTCGGGGCAACGGTATAGCAGCCGAGGCTTTCCCATGTGGTGTCAGATTGAGTTGTTAGGCAAATATATTTTAGTTTGAGTCGTTGGAGATTGAGCTCTGTTTGTCCGTTTATTTAGATGATTCGAACTCGATTAGCTTATTAAACACGTTGTCGTTAGTTTGTTTGTTATTTTATCTTTCGTTAGATACAATATATAGTAAGTTAACGTTCACACTAATATTTATCAATGATTTTCATTAATTAACTTCCCAATAATATAACTTTGAAATCACAAATTCTTATGTGCGATAATCTAGTGGTTATGCAGATCGACTCACGTCTCACTACACATTATTTATAAGAACTTAATTATACTTAAATATTATACTTTTACTTAGTGCAATAAAATTGTTGTTAGACAAATTCAATGATTAGACATTCATACTTTTTCATCAGAATTTGTATGAAGATTGTAGATATGAGAATCAAAGATCAAACACAGAGAAATTTGAGAGAAAAAAAAAACAAAATAAAACAAAACAAAAGAGAGAGAGAGAGAGAGAGAGAGAGAGAGAGAGAGAGAGAGAGAGAGTTCCGTATTTAGGAAAAAATAAAAAAAATGTGTACAAAGGAGATGAGATAGGTCTTTCATACACAAATAACATACTTTAAAAAACAACATAACAAAAGTATGACAATTATGAGTATAAATATTAATTTTTGTTCGAAAAATATGATGTGTCCAACCGCCTAACTCCTATTCTTCCTCACCCAAAAAGTTGTATTGAATTAATTATTAAATAAATTTATTTCTTAATGATTAAGCATTTGTTTGAAATTTTTTGGAATTAACTTCACAATGGATTTGTTCCAGGGGTAAACAACGAGTGGTTTGGTGAAAAACCGTTTCGAACTGCAAAAAACTAAAATACCGAACATAGCAAAAAATTAACCATATCGCTCCGCTAATTAGAAAAAAATCGAACCAACTTTTTTTAAAACTGAAATAACCGAACCGAAATGTGTCGAAATGCACAATTTGTACTAGTTTTCAGTTTTATATCAACTTTTTTTATAAATTTTATTTAATTGATGCAGTTCGGTGCGAAATCAAACAAAACCAAATGTATGAAAAAATATAATCGTATAAGAAAAACTAGTTTTGTATCGATTTAACGATCTTATTTTTTGTAAGTGAAATACTTAGAAAATTTTCAAAACCATTTTTAAGGTTAATGAGAAATTAATTATAAGTTGTATATGTGGGAAATATGAGGTTGGAGCAATTGATTTTATGTAACTCAAATATTATCTGATATGTTTTTTTACAATTGTCAGGACAATGCAAACAAGACCTAATCATGCACTTTGCATGCTAGAACTCCATAAGAGTTCACTGGGGATGGATAGGAAAAAAGGGGAACTCGATTTTGAGTTCGTATGAGCTAGTATGAGCCCGCCGCGCACGAGCGCGCAGCTAGTCGCGACCCTTTGTGACAATAAGGTGTCTTTTGACCACTAGATGCGTCCTTTTTCGTTCGGACACATCGCAAAAGTTGTCTTTTGACACTTAAACATCTTGTAGGAGTTTTTCTACATCTATAAATACCCATACTAATGAAATCATTCTGATTGGTCATAAAAAGTGTGTATTTTATATATTTATTAGCGTATTTTTATATGCTTAATTTTTATCGCACTTATATGTTTTTAGACTTATTTATTTATTAGATGGATTTGTGTGCTATGATATTTTTGTGCATTATTTTCAGACTATTAGGCTACTTTTATGGACAACAAAATATTGAACGGAAGTTCCGATCGACCCAATACTGCTACCTAATTTGGGCCTAAGATTTAGAGCTAAAAAGGCCACATGTGTTTGACTTGAGGAATTCACGCCACTTTTAACATGTATTT